GGCACTGAAAGACCGGAAAGGGACATCAGTACAAGCAATCAAGTCATACATTTTGACTCACCATTCTACTGTCAGCCCGGCTCATATCACATCCAGTCTACGCCGTGCAATTAAATCCGGCATCGAGTCTGGGTTGTTAGTTCGTCCCAAAGATTCTAATGCTAATGGCGTAAATGGTCGTCTCAGAATCGGCAAGCTCCCAGAGAAGCCAAAAAAGAAGGCAGTAACCAAGAAAGCTGTACCAAAGAAAACGTCGACCAAGAAGCCAACACTGAAAGACAAGAAACCCAAGGACAAGAAGGTTACGAAAAAGCCAAAGTCGGACAAGAAGGTTACGAAAAAGCCAAAGTCGGACAAGAAACCACAAGCTAAAAATACCGCCACAAAGAAATCAGAGAAAACTACCACTAAAAAGCCGGCTCAAAAGAAAACACCCAAAAAGGCTTCAAAACCAAAGAAGCCGACAACAAAGAAACACACCACCAAAAAATAAAATGATGTACTTCGCTGCATCCAAACCAAACGGCCCTTTTCAGGGCCACCACATCCTCCAAAAAGAGAACTACCGAAAACAGTACGTGTGTCTGTATGACTGTATGTCTCTGTGTATGTATGTATTTTTTTTTGCGTCAAACGTGAGTAATCCTAGAAATATACCGTGGCAAAATCCATTGTTTACTACTGTAATTAAAAATACATAAATAAATAAATAAATGATAGATAATATATCTACCTACATTCGTGGTTTCACATGTTACGTGATCGCATTCTGATGAATGTACCGAGAGAGGGCGCCCCCATGACAGGTGGTTTGTAAAACGTTATACGCCCATTTATATATGCACTGATTTAAGCGGGATGACAGCGCCTTCATGCGACATTGTTTCGAATATTGTTGTTGTTTACGTGACTGGTTTGGACAAGCTTCAGTACAAATCGGGATTCTGACAAGGTTACGCTCAGCCAATAAGAATTTGTTAATTTCGACCAATCACGGCCACCATATACCGGCCAATCACAATATTAATTCATTCACCAATCAGCTGGCGTGAAGCGCCGGCTAATAGAGTATAAAAATAGAGACTGCACCTTTCAAACATATTCTACTTTATTCTGACATCGAAAAAAGTACTCGTACTCTGTACTCGACATGGCACGTACCAAGCAAACAGCACGTAAATCTACTGGTGGAAAAGCGCCACGAAAACAATTGGCAACAAAGGCTGCTCGCAAGAGCGCACCTGCTACTGGCGGAGTGAAGAAACCACATCGTTACAGGCCTGGCACCGTCGCTCTTCGTGAGATCCGCCGTTACCAGAAAAGTACAGAGCTCCTGATCCGAAAGCTGCCATTCCAGCGTCTGGTTCGAGAAATTGCGCAAGATTTCAAGACCGACCTTCGATTCCAGAGCTCCGCCGTGATGGCCCTACAAGAAGCCAGCGAGGCATACCTAGTAGGTCTTTTCGAAGACACCAACCTGTGTGCCATTCACGCCAAACGTGTAACCATCATGCCCAAAGATATCCAACTTGCCCGTCGCATCCGCGGTGAGCGAGCATAAGTCGTATGCCTAGCATACACAAACCAAAACGGCCCTTTTCAGGGCCACCACATCCTCCAAAAAGAGAACTACCGTCAAATGAACGCACCTATACCACATTATCACGATCACAAATAAATAAATAAATAAATACATACATACATACAGCCACTTACACATAAAGTAAGTGCGTGTCAGTTTGTTCTGACGATAGCAATTATCTCACGTCCTTTGTTTCTTTCTAACCAATACCATATGTGAAGGTGTTAAGGAGACAGGGTTGGACCAGCTGCGAGTGCGAAACAATGGAAAATTATGTAATAATGTGTGGATTGGTGACGCCAACAACGGCACGTATTTATTTTTGCGAGACATTGTCCTAAAATAACCGAAATCATTTTTGAAACGAAAACTAAGGGTATTGTTTTGTAGAATAATTTCACATGACCGTTCACATTCTTAAAATTGCTTCGTACTTTGCCCGATGTTGTTTTTACGACCAAGCGCCGAGTACAATGCTACAAGGGGCAAGGTACGATCCACAGCACTCTTACGCACCTTGAACGGGAAATGTGCAATATCGCGTACAATATCGGTTTGTCGTATATGAATCACACAACGTACTATATTTATTAATGAAGTGAGCTACACATTCCATTTGATTTGTCATTTACGTGCGTTAATCCTTGAAGTAGTACGAACGTATGCATTTTTGAAAATGAAAATGACAGTCAGCATGTATACTGTAGTTACACATGCGGTAAATAATGATATATGAATGATAATATGTATATGAAAACGAAGCACACGACGTGCTCCACCCAGTGTGATAGTTGGATATATATTTAAAGTCACTTTTCATGGTGTAATGTGAGTTTAATTGCCAAAAACAAAAACAAACTCTGGTCGAAATGGAGAAATGGCACTCAGTTCACACTTATGTTTCCTCTGACGTTCGATTGCTATCGGCGCTCTGTTAAAAGACAAATCCCGTCACTCTATTTTTGTATTCTGCCTGTATCTCTTCAGCAGCAAACATTCTTAAACCTGCACCATGGTTGAATCGACCTCAAACAAGTCTGTGAAGAAGACGAAAGTTGTAGCTAGTCATCCTAAGACAATGGATATGATAGTTGAAGCTATTCA